TTTCTCACACGGGCGGCTTCATATGGGCTCTAGCGGCTCCATATGGGGACGGCGTGCGCATCCGCATCGGCGTCACCTCGGGCGGCGGGGCGGGGGGGGGCGCTCGTACGGCAGGAAGCCGCCGACGCCGACGCCGACGTTGACACTGATGACGAGGACGAGGACGAGGACGACGAGGACAAGGACGAGGACAACAGCGACGACAACGACGACGACGGCGACGAGGACGAGAACGAGGACGACGACGAAGACAAGGACGACGAGGACGACGACGAGGACGACGACTACAACGACGACGACGACGACAAGGGCGACGGCGGCGGCGGGGCGTCACCCTCCGGGCGGGGGGGCGGAGGAATGGGATATTCGGAAGGGTCCGGCCTCTGTTCTGTTGTCCATTTGGGAAAGGATGGCAGAACAAGACGCCAGCAGAATCTGTCTGTCGATTTCGGTCGGCTTCGGTTTCGCTGTCTGTTCGGTCAGTTTTCGGTTTTGCTGTCGCCGTGCACGGACTGGGGGGTGGGGGCAGCACATCCCTGGGTGTTGCCAGAAGTGCCCCTGGCTCAAGGTGCCCCCAGGATTCCCGAGGAGGCGCCCCCGGTCTCTGGAGCACATCTCGCGGGGCCCAGCGGGCCCCAGGGGTTCCAAAATTGAGCCAAAAGCTGGGGGTCCATTGGGCCAGGGACATTGTTAGCAACCCCCGAAAATCTGGCCCGGACAAAAAGTGAGAGTGCCAACCCTGGCCATGACTTCCAGCAGCGCCATGGCAAAACTGACTGGTAAAAATTCAAGCCAATGGCATTTGTTCGATTTGTGTTGCGTCTGCCGCCGTGGAGCATTCCAGTCGTGCTCGCCACAGCCCTACCGAGAACACCTAAGCCCGCACCACACATACATGCTTGCAGCAATGATGAGAAGTCTACGGCGAGTTTTCATATCGGTGAAACATGTTCGAAAAGAGATCGGGCCGATCCTCTTACAACGTTGTCTGGAGACTCATTGTAGACCCCGTGTGGATCCCCATGGCCACCTGGGACACCGCAAGAGACGAGCGTTCCGATCCAAGGGCTTGCACCAAACGGGCAAATTCACAACGCACACACCAGAACATAATGATACAAACCTTTTCTACCATGACCAGAAACGAATTCGACAACCGGTCCGCAAATGCACTCCTGACAAATGTCTCAGGCTTCAGAAAGGGCCAAGAAAGCTCCAGGAGGCCGCCCACACGGTCGGGGAGAGCACATAATCACCGAAAAATCACTCCAAGAGGCCCAGGACCCAGGAACGGCCCAAAACGGCCCCAAGAGGGGATTTGTCAGTCTCCGACGGAAGAGGCGTACTTGAGAGAAACGTATTCCCCATACCCTAAGATAGGGTTCTCGTTCTCCATATCCAAAGGATGGGGTTCTTGCTATTACTCCGACCGGTCCGAACTCACTCCTCCTCTTTCTCCTCCTCCTTCTCCCTCTCGTGTTGTGCTGAGATACGTTATGCTATGCTATAACAAAGGTATATCATGGTATGCCATGTTATGATATCGCATGCCATATTATGATTTGGTGTGATATGCGATGCTATGGTATGCAATGCACGCTATGTCATGCTGTGCTATGACATGGTATGTTTGGGTATGGTATGCTGTTTGTGATATGGCATGTCATGTTATGTTATGGCATGATATGCGGCGTGATGACGATGCTAATGCTAATGCTGATGCTGATGATGATATATGATGATGATGATGATGATGATGATGATGATGATGATGATGATGATGATGATGATGATGATGATGATGACGCTGATGATGATGATGATGATGATGCTGATGCTGATGCTGATGCTGATGATGATGATGCTGATGCTGATGCTGATGCTGATGCTGATGCTGATGCTGATGCTGATGATGATGATGATGATGATGATAATGATGATGATGATGATGGCGGAGCGAATTCTGAGGATGTCTCAAGCGAGGCGCGAGTTTCAGCATCCGCGAGGGGGAACCGCCAGGGGGTATCTCACTCCTCCGTTCGCGCCGAAAAGGCGGTGATGTCTCGAGCGGGGTGCCCGATTTTGGTTCCCGACATCCTTCGCTTTTGGAGCAGATGTTGAGGATGTCTCGAGCGAGGCGCTCATTTTCGCCCCAATGGGGGGCCAAAATTTGAGGATGTTTCCAGCGGTTTGTTTGCCTATTTTGCCGGCCGGATTCGTGGGCACGGATCCTCTTCAGGATGCCACTGGAGGCTCCAGCAGGCTCCATTAGGCCACAGGAAGTACGAGGAGATATCAGGATGCCACAGGAGGTGAGTGGAGGCTTCAGGAGGCTCCAGGAGGCTCCAAAAGGCCCAAGCGACCCCAAGAGGGCCCAGGAACCCCCAAGTGTTTTTGTTATTCTTTGCATCCAAAAGATGGGTTCCGCGATGCTGTTCCGAACGCGCCAGATTTCCTCACGCAAACCCTTCCCTCTTCCTTCTGATGGTATGTTATGGTATGGTATGATCTGCACTTGTATGTCATGCTATGTCATGGTATGGTCGGAAGTTGGGGCGTGTGAGCGGAAGTGGCCCCAACCGGAAAATCGGTTTCGGTTTCGGTTTGCGTCGCGGCGCGACGGTCGCGCGCGCGGGCGAAACGAAACTGCGCGAGTTGCTGCACTTGTAGAGGCCACATGAAGCCCAAAACGTCGCCCGCCGCCCCCCCCTGGCCGGGCGCGGCCCCCGATGGTTGTCCCGCGGGTTGTCCCGATGGTTGCCCCGATGGTTGTCCCGATGGGTGTCCCGATGGTTGCCCCGATGCTCGTCCCGAGAGTTGTCCTGATGGTTGTCTCGATGGTTGTCCCGATGGGTGCCCGGATGGTTATCCCGATGGTTGTCCCGATGGTTGTCCCGATGGGTGTCCCGATGGGTGTCCCGATGGGTGTCTCGATGGGTGTCCCGATGGGTGTCCCGACGGTTGTCCCGATGGTTGTCCCGATGAGTATCCCGATGGTTGTCCCGATGGTTGTCCAGATGGGTGCCCCGATGGTTGTCCCGATGGGTGCCCCGATGATTGTCCCGATGGGTGTCTCGATGGGTGTCCCGATGGGTGTCCCGATGGTTGTCCCGATGGTTGCCCCGATGAATGTCCCGATGGGTGTCCAGATGGTCGTCCCGATGGGTGCCCCGATGGTTGCCCCGATGGGTGCCCCGATGGTTGCCCCAATGGTTGCCCCGACGGTTGTCCCAGATAGATTGACGCACAAACACCATTAGCACCATCGCCACCATCATCATTCCGAAGACATTTGTACTCAAGCTGCTTCGCCCCCAAGCATCGACGCCGCAAGGGCGCGTCGCCGGAGCGCGGGCCGCGCCATCTGACGGCGCCAGGCTCTGTCAGCGCCGAACCATGCCACGGCTCGCGCAGGGGGGAGCTGCGCTACTCGCACAGCGCGAACGCGCGCGCTGGGCTCGCAGAGCTCAGCCCCGCCTGCGTTGCGACGGGCGAGCAGTTGTTCGAAGCTCTCGAGAGAAAGATTCGGGCGTGGGGCACGTCGACTGGAAAGCGCCGAAGACCTCGCAGGGGGATATCGGCAAGCGCGAGCAGGAGCGCAACTGCGTCGTCCACGCATGGCATGGGGACCCGACCAGGCCTTCCGAGTTCGAGGCGACTCGGAGCCAGCGCACGAAGGACAAGGAGGCGCCTCACACAGCGACGGCGATGTTCAAAGGCCCGCCGCAGGATTTGGGCACGGAAGCACGGCGGATATCACGCGCAGTTGTTAATCGGCAAGGAGCTGCTGCCACAGGTCGTGGAGCCGCGCGCGCAGGACAGCTCGACGCGGCGTGCGCCAGGCTCTGCCGGCGCATTTGCCTCGCAGGGCGCGACGGCTGGCGCGGAGGCCGCGCGGGGCGCCCAAGCCGCGCCGCAGGGCCCTGCAGCAGAGGGCGCGGGCGCGCGCGGCTCTGTCAGCATGCCGGCGGCGCCTGAGGCGGCTGCCCCGGGCTCTCGCAGCCCAGCCCAGGGCGCAGGAACAGCGCCGCAGCCGCGCCCGCTGCATCCGTGAGGGGCCGCGCCGCGGCCGGCCTCGCAGGCGAGGCTGCGCGCGCCATTCCTCGCCGCGGCGGCGGCGGCTCCGTCGGCTCCGTCGGCCGCGGCTTCGGCTCCGTCGGCTCTGGGGGCATGCGCCCAGGCCGACGCTGCCTCTCTACTCTCCGCGCCAGATGCGGGGCCGCCGTCGGCGCGCTCGCCGCCCTCTTCTGCCTCGCGGCCGACGCGGAGTCGGTCGCGAAGAAAAGTAAGACCGGCGAGCTGGGGGCGGGGGCCGCGCAGGGCGCCCGCGCCCCGCCGCCAGGGCTTGCAGAAGTGGCCGCGGCCACGCCAAGCCCTGCCAGCAAGCCGGCGGCCGCGGAGGCCGCGCAGGGCGCCGCGCGAGCCTGCAGGAGAGGCCGCGGCCGCACCTGTGCCAGCAAGCCCACGAGCCCGCTGCAAAAACCTGACAGACGCTGCGAGGGCGCCGATGGGCCCGTCTCTGCCAGCAAGCCCGCTGGAAAATCTCGCCGGCGCTGCCAGCGCGCGCGCTGCAAGGGCTCGTAGCGGCGCTTGCCGCTGACGACTACGTCGAAGAGACAGTCGATTGGGGTGGCCCCAACGACGCGGCAGAAGAAGTCGCCGTCTTCGAGAGCACCGCGGAGTTCGCCGAGGACCTGCATGGGTCAGTCTCTGACAGCGCCGCAGCGACATGCGCGCGGCTGCCGATCACGCTGCGGCGCGCGCGGACGCGCTGCCGTCGCCCCCGCCGCTGGAGCGGCAGACTTGGCGCGAGGAGAGTTCAGAGCTGGCCAAGACGCAGGCCATGAAAGAGCGGGAGGTCGAACGCGTGCGCTTTCGTCGCGTCGCGGTTTGTCCGAAGGACGCGGACACCCAGGCGGCCCTGCGAGGCGCTGCAGGAGGAGGGGGCGAGGAGAAGGGGGGGCGGGTGGGCGGCGAGGATTGGGGGGGGGATAGGGGGGGCGGCAAAGAGGATCACGGTAAGGCGACGCCGCTGGCAGCTACTGCATTTCGTTTCGGAGGGGCTGGGGGCGGCGG